TCTTAATATGTTTGCTCACCTTCTTGGCACTATGTGTTTTAACCAAGGTCACCTCTCTGAGAAAGGTTGTTTCCCCAGGTAGGGATTTTCCCCTGAAGTTAGGGAGGGAATAAAACCCCTTAACTAAGTGCCAGGCGGGTAGTTAATCACTTTAACTACGAACAATCATGCTTAAGCTACATAATCTTTACTCCCTGGAATGGAGATAAGAAACGCCCTAACCTTTGGAATAGAAATTGACAGGATTGGAATCAACTGGTATAAATACAGATGTAACAAGAAAACAGAAGACAGAACTTAGAAGACAGAACCAAGAGACACAGAACCTAGACACAGAACCTACACAGAACCTAGACACAGAAGAACTTCGCTGGAGAGAACATGGCAAAAGATCCTGGACAGAAACTGGCCACAGAACCTAGAGGCAGAACCTGACTGAAGAACCTAGAGACAGAACCTGGCTACAGAACCTGGATAGAACATGGCAAGAGAACCTGACTAGAACCTGGTGACTGAACCTGGCTGGAGAACCTGGACAGAACCTGGCTGGAGAACCTAGCGAGGGAACATGGCTACAGAACCTGGCTGGAGAACCTGGCTGGAGAACCTAGCAAGAGAACATGGACACAGAACCTGGCTGGAGATCCTAACCAGAACTTCGCTGGAGATCCTGACCAGAACTTGGCTAGAGATCCTGGCTAGGCTGCTGATCAACTGAACGCTGTCTCCGTGTCATTCCTTCTTCGCCGACTCCGTCCACACCTTTGGGGACCCCTGGACCTGCTGGGGCTGGACCCCAGCAAGTAGGCAGCATGATTTTTATGGTGTCACAGAGCCTGCAGCAAGATCAGTTGTGCCCTCTGAGCTTCATTCCTTTCCTGTCAGAGTCGGGATCTGAGGCGTGTGATGCTGATCTGGGACTGCTGGGTCTGAGGGCTGAGAGGCCTTGGATCCTGAGGAGAGTGAGCATCCCTCTCACCTCCTACACCACATAGGCACTCACACAAAACTATGCCCATCCTACCAGACCCCCAAGCTCAGGGAACAGGGCCGCCTTTTCTGAGGCAGACACTGAAGATTCTGCCAACTTGGGCAGGGGCCTATGCCCTGAGAGCAGGGGATATTAACATAGGAACGATGTGGAGTTGGGAGTTTGGGGGTGGGGGGGTAGGAAGATGTGAATCCCCTGAAATTATTTCCTAGGAAAATGGTCTTTGCCAGATTTTTGTGTGTTTATGATCCAAAAAGGTTTAAGAAACAGGTATGTTCTAGCTTTGCTCTGATCTTTTGAGACCAAAGAGTGTTGGAAGGAATTTGGTCTTGGGTGTCAGATGGATTTGGGTTTGAATTGTTTCCAATAGATTTTAGCTGTGTGGCCTTGACGTGACCAGAGAGGCTGTGAAACCTTTCTGACCTCCATTTTCTGAACTGTAAAACAAGATTCAGAATGCCTATAGCTTTATGGTAAGCAAAATAAACCAGTTGGAGAAAGATAAACATCACATTATCTCACTCATGTGTGGAATATAAACAACAACATAAACAGATGAACAAAAATAGAGCCAGAGTCATAGAAGCATCGAACAGACTGTCCAATCTAAGAGGGAAGGCAGGGGAGGCGAGGGTGGGTGGGGCGGTAAGAGATCAACCAAAGGACTTGTATGCATGCATATGAGTATAACCAATGGACACAGACAGTAGGGGGGTGAGGGCATGTCCTGGGCTGGGGAGAGGAAATGGGGGAAAAAGGAAACTTATGTAATACTTTAAACAATAAAGAATTTAAAATTTAAAAAGATTATAGTGACAGGTAGACTAAGTAGAGAAATGATAAATGTTAATTTTCTTTTTTCTCTCTTTCATCTCATAAATAAAATGAAAGAAACTGTCTGTTCTGCCTTATTCCTTGCCAGATCTTCCTGAGCACCCATCATGTTTTGCACACAGTAGGCACTCAAGTGTTGGTTGAATGGCTGGTTGGGTGGGTGGAGCAAGTGCTTTGGTTTAGTGCCCAGATGAAATCTCTCAGACTGCTTCCTCAAAGCACTTATTTTCTAAGAGGGATCTTGATGCGATGATTGGTTTTGCTAAGACAACCCTCCCAGGACAGTTAGCCCCATGTCCTTTGCACAATCTTTCTGAATATTATGGCAAGAGTAGATCTGCTTCTTGTGCTGAAAGTTATCATCTCTGCTGGACCTTTGTCTGTATCAGGGCTGAGCAAATCCAGTAGCCCAAATCTGGTCTGTTGTCTATTCTTATAAATAAAATTTTGTTGAAACACAGACATGTTCATTGATTTATGTATCAGCTATGATTGCTTTTGTGCTGTGGCAGAGTAGGGTAGTTAGGACAGAAACCATATGGACTGTGAAGCCTAAAATATTTATTATCTGCCTCTTTCTGGGAAAAGTTTGCCAACCCTGGGTATATATTATCTGTACTCCTTACCATAACTCTGCAGGATTGGTCTTAAGATGCCCTTTTTATGTATTGAAAAGCTAAGACCAACAGAGTTTAACAATGTGACTGGGATTACACAATTTGTATACAAGGTTAGGGTTTGACTCCAGGTCTGTGTGATTCCACAGCCCCTCTAAACACTGCTTCCCACTAAACACTGCTACCTTTTAACTCAGCCAAAACCTAGCTGAACCAGTTACATCTTCCAGTCCTGCCCAGTGACTGTGACTGGCACGGGGAGCAATTCGGTGATGCCCCCTGGAATCATGGTGCAACCTGGCAGTCCTGGTGATTGTCCACAACCTGGCTCAGGTCTGCAGTGTAAATCCTGTGGATGGGTAAATAAGTAGGTGAGACAGTAGATGAGGATTTCAAGGACTAATCCTGCAGATGGCAGAGCAACACGGGTAAGCACCTGTTTATATGCAGACATCATGCTGCTTCCCAAGGGTCGGCAGGGTCAGCATTCCCGGGAGTGTCCTTGTTGCTGCTGGGTGTGGCTTCTACTCTTGTTTGGTGCCCTTGGTGAGTAATAGGTAATATTTGTGCATTTTCAGCACAGAGCCACCCAGCACAGACATCCCTGCTCCCTATGAGACTGTGAGAGCTTTGGACCTGCACGCTTGCTTGCTGGCACTGTGCCCTCAATGGCAGGTCTGACTCTAAATTTGAGATGAAAGTTATTTCACAGTGAATTAATTCTGATGGAAATTGTTACTGTTTCAAGGGGTTACAGACGAAGTTCTGTAGTTCTTCTGTTAGTATTCCATCTGCGCATTATTTCTTCTTCTCACTCGACTTCACCCTTCCAATTAATTTTTCCAAGCGTATAAACTGGTTATGATTACATAAAAGAAACAAAATTGGAAAAATCAGCTATTCTGCTTTAACTGACTACATAGCAGTGTTACAACCTGACGATAACAATAACAGAGACACAATTTTAGCCACCCAACTGGAAATAACACAGTTGGGTAATTTATCCATCTGTCAAAGCAAGTATCTAATCAGTGGTCACATAAAAATGGGTATTGTAACATCCAGTTAGTGAGCGGGGAGGGGAGAAGGATTAGGAGGCTGAATGCTCTTCATGATGGAGCCTGTTTTTGTTCTGTCTTTGTGACCAGCAATAGGGAGTGCCTGTGACGCTCACTTTGTGTGTCACGGAGCTGCCGACGGAGGATTCCGTGGAAAAGCAGCAGAGCTGCAGAGTGAACAGGAAGGAATCAGAGCTATAATTAACTTCTGTCTCAGTGTGTTCAACAACAGTGGCCCTTATTTCTCCACAGATGAAATCCTGTGGTCTTACCCTGTGGCTGTCACACTGTAAAGTCAATGACCCTTTCAGTCTATGGTGAAAATAGAAAGCATAATAATGGGCCTGCTCTGGTTTAAGTGGGGATAGAAGAACCTGGTGGAATTAAGTCATGTTTCATTTGTTGTGCCAGTGTAACTCTATGGGGAAATAGCGGGTTGATTAAAATTCTTGGTCTGTTGTTTAATTATTTAGAATGATTGCTTCCAGCAGACGTGTTTCTCTTTGTAGTCCTTTTGGTTTGTTGCTGGCATGTTTTAGTGTCCAGTTACTTATTCTTTTTAATCCTCCCCCAAGGATATGTTCTTATTGCTTTTAGAGAGAGGGGACGGAGAGAGAAAAAGAAACATGTATGTGAGAGAGAAGCATCGATTGGTTGACTTCTTTATATGCCCTGGCTGGGGATCGAACCAGCAACCTAGGAATGTGTCCTGACTGGGAATCTAACCCACAAACTTTTTGGTATTCGGGACAATGCTCCAACCAACTGAGGCACCCAGCCAGGGCCAGTTATCTTTTTTTAAGCTTTAAAATATCCAAGTAGCTCTTCATGTATTTTTTGTTTGTTTTTTCCATGACACCAGGTACTTCTCATTGGTCAAGGCTACTGATGATTAATTTGTATTTCTGTCTTAGAAATGTGTTTATTAAGAACCCATCAGAAAATTCATATGTACCCCTTACCAGAGACTAAAGAGAAAATTTTAAAAATTACAAATGATTACTGACTTGGGAGAGAAATTGAAAAATTAATAGAATTTTAACTTATATTGATGAAGCAAGTTAATGGTGGTGGTGCAGTCACTTCCTGGGTGAGGGAGAAGAATGAGCAAGTCATAGAAATCTGTATCAATGGTGCTTTCTAGAATTGTTCATCCCAGGTGTACTGGTACAAGCTATTTGGGAAAGAGCAAGGCCTGTTCATGGACTAGTGAGAGCCCCATCAGGTAATATTGATGCACCAAAACAGTTGTTTGAGTGTCCTTGTGTTTGCTCTTCCTGGAGCCATGCTAGGAAGGCAAGCTGCTGCTATGCTATAATTGCTGTACAGCGTTTTGTCCTGTTTTGTTTTGTTTTTTAAGCCCATGTGCATTTTCATGGTTGGTTATAGTTTTTGTATGTGTGTGTGGCAGCATTTGAGGGATGGGGGTGTCCATAAGGCTCCTAACACTTGACTGCCAACTTTGCTGGGCTCACATGTCCTTATTTGTGTGTTTGCCAGGGAGAAATGCCTCCTGCCTCTCCAGTTGGCTTTGGAATCCAAGAATGTGAAGTTGGCCCAACATGCCTTGGCAGGAATACAGGTATGGCTCGCACTGAGTGCATTGGGGACGACAGAAATTGACAGGCCGCATTGGCACGGAAAGAGCAAATAGTTAATATTTTAAATACTAGCTGTTTAAAGACCCAGACAGACTTTTGATTGAACTAGGTAATAACCACAGAGGATAACAAGATTTTAAAAAATATTTGTCAACATTTCTTTGTATACAACATTATCTTATTGAGCCTTTGTCCTCACACACTGATTCATGAGGACTCAGCTAAGCCACACAAAAGTGAATTTTTTTAATTTTATTTTTTGTTAATCCTCTCCAGAGGATATGTTTTTCATTGATTTTTTTTTTATTTGTTATTTTTTTTAGAGAAAGTAGAAGGGAGGGGGAGAGGCAGAAAGAGAGGAACACATCAATTGGTTGCCTCCCACACACACCCCGACTGGGGCTGGGGATCGAGCCTGCAACCAAGGTACATGCCCTTGACCGGAATCGAACCTACAATCATTCAGTCTGCAGGCTGACACTCTATCCACTGAGTAAAACCGGGTAGGGCCAAAAGTGAAATATATTATGCAATGTCCAACTTTTAGGAGAATAAGGGATCCCAAGAGAGACACCCCAGGTTCCATATCAACTCAAACCTTGTATACACTCAATGTCTGTGGTTCTGTGGATGAAAATTGATGGTAAACCTGACACATTTTGTTTTGTTTCCTACTCTACAGTTAGGTTGGCAAATGGGATAATGTGTTTTGTTTTCAGAGTAAGATTGAGAAGAAAAAAAAAATTGGTCTAATAGGAAAAGTTAGATTGTTTGAGAACATTTCCTTCTCTGAGCATTTGTTCATTTGTGTTTTACACATTACATAATAGAGCCGTTGCAAGAGTGCAAGAGAGATGGCTATATAAATGCACCGACTTTTTAAGTGGTTTGGTTTCTAAGTGACAAGCACTGTGAAGTTCAAGCCTACGGGGGTTTATTCAGCAGGGCCATGGATCAGCAGCATTTGTATGATGTCTTTTCACATCCGTATGTACAATTTCATTGTTAGCTCTCTAAGTTCAAAGAGGTCCCTAATACCTTTTCTTACTCTCTCCCCCACTGGATTAGATAAAGTATGTTTTATTATATAACAGTATTAGACATTTTTAAACATCATCCATAATGTTATTTAAATCTTCGCTCTTCTCCCAGGTAATTGGGCCAACCAAAAATGAATGGAAGGTTGTTTTAACCTGCCACTGATGTTTTTTTTTCTCAAGTATTGTATAGATTTTCCATTTAGTTACTATTTTCTTAACCCTCCAACACTCTAAGTTAGGGGACTGTGATTTCAAGGGTTTACTTAATTATGATAACATCAGTGACCTGGTGGGCAAGGAGCTTTCTCTTACCATTCCTTGTTACCTCCGATTAACTTCAGGCAATATTTTTGGGCTTCCCAGTCTTTATCACTGTAGTTAATAAGAGGTTCATACATTAACTTTAACTCTGGGCTGCCCTGCGTGCACTAGATAATAGTGAAAAATCTCTTTTGAGATAATACAGGCAAACATGTCAGAGAGTTCTGGGAAGAAAGTACACCATCTTTGTTCTGTTCTGATCGGCATTCAGCTAAAAGAGGGAGTCATTGCTCTGGACAATCAGAAGCCAAAAGCTCTTCACAGCAGTGACTCTACACTGAATTGGCCAAAGGCAGAGAGAACAGGGATTAATAGAAAGTCCTTAACTGAGTCTCACAGACCCACCGCCCCAGGACAGAATGGGGGAGAACAGCTTATTTCCAGTCCTTGTGAACTAGGGGCTCTCATTCACAAGTGTGAGTCAGCACAGAATCTGCCGTGACTTACAGCTAATTTGATCTGAGAATGTGATTAAAGCTATGAGTTACCGTTTGTTTGTTTGGCAATAAACACATTTAATTATTTTACATAACTAGAATTCTAGAGATGGGCCGTTTTAGGTTTGGTGTACCCGCTCAGTGGTGCCACCAAAGACCTCATTTCTTTCCCTTATTTTCTGCCATCTTTTTATTTTTTATTTTTAAAAGGCTTTATTATTAGAGCAGTTTTTGATTTACAATAAAATTGTGAGGAAGGTTCAGGGAATTCCATGTACCGCTGTCCCACACATGCATAGCCTTCCCATTGTCAACACCACTCACCAACATGATTCATGATTCTTTTTTTTTTTAACCAAAGAGGAGCCTACATTGATACACCATATTGACCCACAGTCCACAGTTTACCTTACGGTGCGCTTACCTTTCATGTCAGGCCACTCATGAGGTCCTACATTCACACTGGAGGCCACATGTCAAGCCCGAGAGCACCTGTGAAACTATGCCATTGACGGTATGGAGGAGAAAAGGCTTAGGTAGACGTCACAGCTGATTTCGGATACTTCACAAGCTAATCCGTGTGAATCTGGGGAAGGATAAGTGAGCAGAAGCTGTAGGCAGTTGGGTTTGGGGATAGTTCACAGTCGTAAGTGAAAAAGTAAACATCTGAGAAAAGGAACTTGTTGTCTACAGGACTCCTTTCCTGTGACCAAGCTCCATTCAGAAAGAGTGTGTGTGCACGACTGTTATGAGGGTTCATTTCCCTTGACACAGGCATGCTCCCCCCCATCACCCAAATAACCTTTGTGCCCACCATGTTAGAATTTCACTTGGTGAAATATATAATGATTTATCTAATAGCAGGAAGAAGACTTTGCCAAAAAACTTCACCAAAGGTTTGATGTGTTGTTTTCTTTGCAATGGCATCTAGAGCAGGAGTTCTTTCCTAATGGCCTCCAGCTTCATGCCTCCTAAGAAGAATTATCCTCCGTACGTACTAAGCTGCAACAGAGTAAGGCAGCAGGAAAGAGCCTATCTGTGATCACTGCCTTGTGCCTCTTTACAGAAGCTTCTGTCAGAGGAAAGGTTTGTATCCATGGAAACAGACTCCGATGAGAAGCAGCTGCTTAATCAGATCCTGAACGCCGTGAAAGTGACACCGTCCCTCCACGAAGACCTGCAGGTGGAAGTGATGAAGGTTGGTTTGATGTGGCTACCAGTCTGCGTCATTGGCACAGGAACAAACTCTGACTCCCCCTACCCCCCCAGCTCTTACTGTTTTCTGGGAAATGCCTCTGCATATTGGTCATGCTAGCTCACCCTTTGCTTAGAATAATATATGGTTATTATCCTTGCTTATGGTCCCCCGGAGTAACCTTGATTATTGAACAGAAAGGACACCTAAGTGAAAAGGTATGATTTCAGTACATCTGTAAGATTTTTGGCCCACTCATGCATGTCCAATGTTAGAAAATGTATTTATCACTTTTTGAGAGCATGTATGTGAGCAGTTCTAGCTTGGGACAGATCCGATCATTTTGGGTATCCTGCCTGCCTGTCTATGTTAAAACAAAGCAGAGTTCTAATGCTGTTTCAACATTCACTAAGGTCTTAGAATAGTCAGTTTTTAGGGGAAGAAGACCATAATTTGGAAGCATATCAGAATCATATCTTTTTTCCCCATGCTCAAATTATGTGACCTTAATCTCCCACATTCCAGCTATCATCTCTATTGCCGAGGGGGTGGGGGGGAGTGGCGGTTGACATCTCTCCCTTTTCCCTTCCTTGAAAATCACCATGGTTGGGAGCCCCTTACACTGACTCTGCAGTATGTCATATCCTGGGAGTGAAGAGTGAGTTGGGCAGGAAAGGATGGAAATCTTTCCCAGAAGAGCGCCTTGGTCAGAGTAACAGCTGGAACCAACAGACTGGCTTTCAATAATGTCTCTGCCCGTTTTCTCCCTAGAGGAATGTTTAAGAATAGCTGGTGGCATAGAATGGTTGATTTCTTCCTGGAAGTGCACTGAGGGATTTTTGTCTTGGATAAGAGATTCACGTCTCTGGGCTTCAGTTTCTCTGCTCAGAAAAGAAAAGCTTGGTTTCAGTCATGGCATTTTCTTAATGCCCTGGGACTCACCCTAACCCTGTGGTGGGTGGTTTAGTGTAGTGATTAATGAAGAGCTCAGACTCCAAAGCCAGCCTATCTAGCTAGGTTTGAATCCTCATTCATTTCCTAGCAGATTCATTTCCTTGGACAGATTCCCTAACCACTCTAGCTTGATCTTCTCATCTGTAAAATGCGGGTAATAGTAGCACCTACCTAATAGGATTGTTGTGAGGATTAAGTAGAGTGATATTTGTAAAGAACTCAGCACAGTATCTGGCATAAAGCAAGTGCTTTCAAAGTGTTAAATATTACCACTACTCTTCCTACTTTTACCTACTGCTACAGCTACCTAGTGCTGCTGAGTCAGAATCTTAGTGGTGGGTCTAAGAATAGTCCTGTACACAGTAAACATTGGGAAACTCTGAGCTGGATGGCCTTGAGAAGCTTATTTGTCTTTAACTCCCTTTGCTTTGGGAATATACAGGTTTTTCCTGTCCTATGACATATGTTTGTCAGTTGTGCAATCACAGGAACCGAAGCATAACCACCTCTAGATTTGTTTTACTTCTCTACTACCCCCTTGGCCACTATTGGGGGAGAAGCAAGGCCAGCTGCCGTGTTAATTGCTTTTACTACTTCCAAGTCTAGTCTGCTGAGTCCTTCATCTACTATTAAGTCTCAAAGTACTGAAAGCTGAGCTCTGGTGTCATACTGATAGACACGCCTCACAGATTTCATATTATCTGGAAATTCTCCCAGGCATATAACTTTTTGTAGAGGACAGACATATGTATTAAAAGTTAAAATGAGAAAGTACCTGTTTTTGTAGGAGCTGTGGAGAAGCAGGATGCTTCATGGTCATGTCCACAGTAACACCTGTTTTGAAAAACTGTACTTGCTTTAAAAAATAACAGTTCAGCAGTGCCTTCTGCCAGCTTTGCTGAGCACAGGAGTTGACACATGTTAACTCTCCTGGAAATCCTGGAAAGCCATCTTAATGGACTTTTTAATGATATCACAATAGACCGTGGTACTTGTAATTAACGTCTGGAAAGAAATCAGACATTGTCAGAAAAGAAAAACAACAATCTGGGCTGCCATTCTTCACAAGTAGATTTCCAAAATGCCTAGAAAGATAAGGGCTTTTGTTGCATGCTGTTATTTTTAACTAGTTCAACATTAGAATTGGGGAAAATGTATTTTTTATTTAACTCTAGCTGGTACACAATACTATGTTAGTTATCTTAGTTTCAGGTGTACAACATAGTGATTAGACATTTTTATACCCTGTAAGGTGATCTCCCCACTAATCCTAGTACTCATCTGTCACTGTGCAATCTAATCACCATATTATTGACTATAGTCCCTTTGACCTTTTTCACCCATTTCCCCACTCCCTATGGCAACCATCAGTTAGGTCTATGTTTCTACGAGTCTGTTTCTGTTTTGTTTTATTTTTTGTTTATTTTGATTCCATATATAAGTAAAATTATACAGTATTTGTCTTTGTCTGATTTATTTCACTTGGCATAATACACTCTGGTCCATCCATGTTGTTGCAAATGGCAAGATTTCATTCTCTTTTTCTGGCTGTGTAATAGTCTATTGTGTGTGTATATACCACATCTTGATCCATTCGTCTATCAGTGGACACCTAGGTTGCTTCCATATCTTGGCTGTTGTAAATAATGCTGCAGTGAACACAGTAGTGCATAGATCTTTTCAAAATAGTGTTTTCATTATCTTTGGATAAATACTCAAAAGTGGAACTGCTGGGTCAGATAGTAGATCTGTTGGGACGTTCCCCCCCTTCTTTCTGATGGATAACCTTTAATGAGGTTATTACTGATACAACTGGCTGAGTCTTCAAAGACTACAGGGAATTACGGCTGGCCTTCTGCCTCTGTAAGTGTGTCAGAGATGAGAGAATGCAATCTGGGAAGGGCAGGCCAGCTTTGTAGATAAGGCAATATATGATATGGAATACTGAGAAAGCATTTGATGAATGTTTTGTTATTGGACATCTTATTTTATGTGCATCTTTGGATAATAGAAATGAATATTGGTGGAAGGCTTTACAATTTTCAAAGGAGAAATGACAGGAGCTGATTATTTAGCGTTTATTATGCATCAGAAACTCTGCTAAGTACTTGACATTCATACTCAGATCACACACCTAGTTAAATGATGGAGCCAGTACTTGAACTGTAATTCAGCCTGAGGTCAAGCCTGTGTTCTTAAAGAGTGGGTTACATTGCCTTCTTACTCTATCTGCAAGACATTTTAAAGTTGATTGAATAGAAAAGTTATGTCACAGACTAACAAGGGGCAAAGCTAGAGTGACTTGAAGTCCTGTGTGTTTTCTGTACCCTCCCATGACATTATAACACTGTATTTACTTACTAGTTCAATTAGCTAGATTCAAATATGAAGAAAGGATCATAGTAATTTTCCCACCAAAGTAGCTGATGGTTCTGTTTGAGTGTGAGTGTGTGTGTAAGTGCGCGCTGAGGAGGGGAGAGAGGAGGGGAGGGGAGGGGAGGAGAACTTGAGATTATAAGTTAGGGGAAGGGAAAGAAAATGTCATTTACCATTGACATGTTTTCATATTTTGTACCAAAGCCAACCAGATGTCTACAGAAAATATAAAGGTGAATGATTCATGGGGAAAAAGCTTACTATCTGTAGAACCGGTAGACCTAAGCTTTAGGTTGTCCATGTAGAACTCTGGTCTTACAGTGGAGAGGAGAGAGTACTTTTAAATTATGTACCAGCTTTGCAGTCCATGCCCTGGTCTGCGAGTAAGAAAGAGGCCAAATGGAAGGAACATTTCTACATCCCTTCTCAATAATATTTTAATGGCAGAGTCTCATATTTTGGCCTTTTAACTCTGGGCATTTGGTCTTCTAGAGCAGCCGTGGGCAAACTACGGCCCACGGGCCGGATCCGGCCCGTTTGAAATGAATAAAACTAAAAAAAAAAAAAGACCGTACCCTTTTATGTAATGATGTTTACTTTGAATTTATATTAGTTCACACAAACACTCCATCCATGCTTTTGTTCCGGCCCTCCGGTCCAGTTTAAGAACCCATTGTGGCCCTCGAGTCAAAAAGTTTGCCCACCCCTGTTCTAGAGTGTCTTAGGGGAGGAGGAATGATCATTAGCCAAGTTTGAGGGTGAAAAATGACTAAATTGTCTTGCCTTCTCATAACAAGGAGAAATCCATTCTTAGTCTAAAGCTAAGTCTATTGAGACACGTTAAAGATTTGCAGCGATCTCTAGTATTAAGGAACAATCCAGTGTTTGATGAAAAATGTTTAATTTCAATGTGCAGTTGTTAGAGGTTGATCTGTCATGATTACAAACACATTTCTTTGGTTATTGCAGAAGCATCTAAAATAGGTGGTTTTGCTAAGAAAGTGGTTCCCCAACAGCCCTCCCTCTTCCTGCTCCGAAAATTGAAGATAGTGTTTTCTACTTTGTATACACATTGATAAAATTCGTACTATTTCCTCCCCCCACAAGCTTCTCAACCCCTTAGTGTGACTGCATTAGACAGATAATAAAAATATATGGAAAGGAAGAAAATATTGAAAACTTAGAAATGTGGTTTTCCTTTAAGTAATTTATGCATTACTTTTTGAGATAAAGGTATTTTCACATTATCTATTCTTTTTTTTTTATGCACCACCATTTCCAAGTGCCATACCACTTGAATATATTTGAGAATAATTCTAAGTGTTTTAAAACTTTACACCCATGGTGTTTGTTAAGCAAGCAGAGATGCAGAGGCTCCTATATTTACTGGGAATGTGTTAGAGTTCCTAGTAGAGTGGGGAAGATCCTCCAATTTTTTCAATCCTATTGTCAATAAATATCTATTGCTTCCTCTGTGCTAGGCGGGGATGATCCCATGGCAATGAAAATGAAACTGAAATGAAACAAAAACAGTCTTTGTCTGAAGGCCAGTGGTAAAGAAATCAATGAAATGCATAAATACACATAAACTGTGATAAATACAATGAATGAACAATCTAGGAAAACTAAGAGTGTATTTATTTATTTATTTATTTATTTATTTATTTATTATT